TCCCGTCGATCATGGTATCGGAGACGACGCGACCGACTGTAAAACTCTCCAATGTTCCTCAGACCATAGTTGCCGACGAACTCCTCCGGTTCTTAGAGCTCCACCTCGGCGTCGACACAGTGTTCGCTCTCGAAATTCCGACGACTCGCGACAATTGGAAGCCAAGAGACTTCGCGCGCGTGCAATTCACTTCTCTCGAGGTCAAGTCTCGAGCTCAGCTTCTCTCTTCTCAGAACAAGCTCCTTTTCAAGACCCATAACCTAAGAGTCTCCGAAGCTTACGACGACATCATCCCTCGGCCTGTAGATCCCAGGAGAAGGCTAAGCGACGTCGTTTTGACTGTTGGGTTCTCGGAATCGGACGAAGAGAGGTTTTGTGCCCTAGAAAGATGGGAAGGCGTGAGGTGTTGGATTATGGAAGAGAGAAGGAGATTGGAGTTCTGGGTTTGGGAAAGGGATGAATGTTACAAGATCGAGGTTAGGTTTGAAGACATTGTTGAAACCGTTGGCTGCTGCATCAATGGTGCGTCTGAGATCAATGGCTTTCTTCTAAGGGTAAAAGTTTTCACCTTTTTTTCTCTCAGATTTCTTACCCATAAAGGTGCTTGTTACAATGTGTGTGCTAAATCATTCTGTAATAGATAATGGCTTACTTGATTGCATAATGATCAATTTAAGGTGTGTAAAGTGAAATATGAAGGATGAAACTAAAAAGATTTGAGAATTGAGGTCTGTGTTGAGTTTGCTGCTACTGATTTCAATTGGTTTTATGTTACTTGGTATGTTGTTAAGTCTTATCTTGGTCTCCTCTGATTTTTTGTTGACATGTTGTCTTGTATCCAGCTCAAGTATGGACCGAAGATATACAAAAGTGTATCAGGAACCCATATAGCCCCAAAGTTTAAAGCTGATCGGTACCGCTTCTGCAAGGAGGATTTTGATTTCATGTGGATTCGGACAACTGATTTTTCTGGTTTGAAATCAATAGGGTCATCCAGTTGCTTCTGTTTGGAAGTCTTCAATGCCTCAACGATGACAGGCATTTTCTCATTCTTACCTTACTACAGAGAAGACACTTTGAGTCTAACCACTGTGGACGGGAATACCTTTGCCTCTGTACATCAAATTGTTCCCCTCTTGAATGCCGATTACCTGGGGACAGAGATTCCTTATGAGATCCTATTTCAACTCAATTCGCTGGTTCACGCCCAGAAAATCAGTCTTTTTGCAGCTTCAAACATGGAACTGATCAACATCCTTTGTGGTTTGAGCTTGGAAACCGCATTGGTGATTCTCAAGAAACTGCACCAACAAAGCTCTATATGTTATGATCCTGTCTCGTATGTCAAGACTCAGTTGCAATCCGTGGTTAAGAAGATGAAACATTCCCCTGCATCAGCCTATAAAAGATTAACCGAGCAGAATATCATGAGTTGTTATAGAGCCTACGTCACACCCTCAAAGATCTATCTGTTGGGTCCAGAGCTTGAGACTGCCAATTACGTTGTGAAAAACTTTGCAGAGCATTCCTCAGATTTCATGAGAGTTACCTTTGTGGAAGAAGATTGGAGCAAGCTTCCAGCTAATGCTCTTTCTGTGAACTCCAAGAAAGGCTATTTTATTAAACCCTTGAGAACCAACATTTATAACAGGGTGTTGTCAATCCTTGGAGAAGGGATCACCGTCGGGCCTAAAAGGTTTGAGTTCTTGGCTTTTTCAGCGAGTCAACTGCGAGGAAATTCTGTGTGGATGTTTGCTTCTAACGAGAAGATAAAAGCGGAAGATATAAGAGAATGGATGGGTTGTTTCCGTAAAATTCGAAGCATTTCCAAATGCGCTGCTAGGATGGGTCAGTTGTTTAGTGCTTCGCGGCAGACACTTAATGTCATTGCGCAAGATGTGGAGTATATTCCAGACATCGAAGTGACGACTGATGGTGCTGATTACTGCTTCTCGGATGGCATTGGGAAAATTTCTTTGCGATTTGCTAAGCAAGTTGCACAGAAGTGTGGGCTGAGTCATATTCCTTCAGCATTTCAAATTCGATACGGTGGCTACAAAGGTGTGATTGCAGTTGACCGAAGTTCCTTCAGAAAGATGTCTTTGCGTGATAGTATGCTGAAGTTTGAATCCAACAACAGGATGCTTAACGTAACCAGGTGGACAGAGTCTATGCCGTGCTTCTTAAACCGGGAGATCATTTGCCTTCTGTCAACGCTCGGAATAGAAGATGAAGTGTTTGAGGCAATGCAAGCTATGCATCTATCTATGCTGGGAAATATGCTTGAAGACCGAGATGCGGCGCTTAATGTTCTGCAGAAGTTGAGCGGAGAAAATTCGAAGCATCTGTTAGTACAGATGCTGCTACAAGGATATGCACCAAATTCAGAGCCTTACCTCTCAATGATGCTTCGTGTACACCACGAGAGCCAACTTTCTGAATTAAAGAGCAGGTGCAGGATACTTGTCCCGAAAGGACGAATCTTGATCGGTTGCATGGATGAAATGGGTATCCTGGAGTATGGCCAAGTGTACGTTCGTGTAACCCTGACAAAAGCAGAACTGGAATCCCGTGAACAGAGCTATTTCCGCAAGGCTGATGAGGAAACATCAATGGTGATTGGAAAAGTGGTTGTGACTAAAAACCCATGTCTTCACCCTGGAGACATCAGAGTTCTTGAAGCAATATATGAGGTCAGTTTCGAACAAAAGGGATTTCTCGATTGCATCATCTTTCCTCAGAAGGGAGAAAGGTATATACTGAACCAATTTCTCAAAGCTATACACCAAAGCAGAAACCATATGCTTCTGATTCTTAATCTCAGCTTAGTTGATGGTTTTTTAATGATTCCACAGGCCACATCCAAATGAATGTTCTGGTGGTGATCTCGATGGAGACCAATTTTTTGTTAGCTGGGATGAGAAGCTTATACCAAGCCAAATGGATCCTCCAATGGACTATGCTGGAAGCAGACCTCGTTTAATGGATCATGATGTCACCTTAGAGGTTAGTTTCTTGAAAAAGTCTGATATTGTGAAAGATTGAAACTCCTAATCTTGTGGACTTTAAGCTAATCCTCTCATTCACTCTGCTTTATAGGAAATCCACAAGTTTTTCGTTGATTATATGATAAGTGACACGCTGGGGGTGATCTCAACTGCACATTTGATTCATGCAGATCGTGACCCAGAAAGAGCCCGGAGCCAGAAATGCCTAGAGTTAGCAAATCTTCACTCTAGGGCTGTTGATTTTGCGAAAACTGGGGCTCCAGCTGAGATGCCTTATGCCTTAAAGCCCAGAGAGTTTCCTGATTTCCTGGAACGGTTCGAGAAACCAATGTACGTCTCTGAGTCTGTGTTTGGGAAACTATACCGCACAGTCAAAAGCTCTTTAGCGCAGAAAAAGCCAGAAGAGGAGACCACAGAGATGATGGCTTATGATTATACACTTGAAGAAGCTGGCTTTGAGAGCTTAATAGATACAGCAAAATCCCATAGAGACATGTACTCTGAGAAACTGAGCTCATTGATGAAATACTACGGGGCTGTTAACGAGGAAGAGATCCTCACGGGTATTTTGAGAACCAAGGAGATGTATCTGCAGAGAGATAACCGGAGGTATGGTGATATGAAGGATAGAATTACGTTGTCCGTGAAAGATTTGCAGAGAGAGGCCATGGGATGGTTTGAGAAGAGCTGCAAGGAGGGACAAGAGCAGAAGAAGCTAGCATCGGCTTGGTACTATGTAACGTACCACCCGAGTCATCGCGATGAAGAGTTGAAATTCCTGAGTTTTCCGTGGATCGTAGGTGACGTTTTGCTGGGGATAAAGGCTGAAAATGGCAAGAGCCAGAGGAGTGGTAATGCATGAAGAGCAAGCAAGTGTAGTTGTAGTTAAGTGATGTTTCTTCTCTTTTCATTTTAGAATGTGAACGGAATTCCCACTTTGTGACTATTTTAGAGCGAAAAGTAAACGTTTTTTTTTGTTTGTGCACAGCGAAAAGTAAACGTTATGCTGAAAATTTTTCGATGCAACAATCGCTAAATGACATGAAAGGAGCTAATTTAAAATGGTTGTCAAAATTATAGAACAAATTCATTCACTCTAATAGTTTTTGTTGTATACTGATTAAATCAAATTATTTTGTTGTGCAACAAAAAGGTGACGCAAAGTTATTATTTATAAATATTAAATAATAGCGTAATGAAACAATTGCGGCTTACTTCTTCTCATCAAAGACATGAATCAAAACATCTTCTTCCTCTTCTCAGAAACTATCTTCAGTCTCTACTCGAGTTTGTATATCACAAAGGTGCCGTGCCGTTTGGCCTCTTAACGTTTTGCCTGTCTCTTAATCTTTCTTCGGACGCCATATAGATGTTTCAAAGTATCTACTGCTTTGTTAGCTAGTAGTTTTGACTTTTGATCCTAACATATTTTGCTTAAAATGATTTTCTAAATTAATAAAAAATACTTTTTTACAACGTTAAGGGTAGAAACGGATTTCTATTTAAGTAAATCTAATGGGACAAAACTATGGATGTAAAAGTGTATTAGGACGTTAGATGTGGTAATTTGTCCTAAATTATCGACTTTACAAAAAAATTAAAATAGTAAACACTAATCACTAATCCGTGTGCAGTAAGAATATATAAGGGAAAATTGTGTAAATGGGTCAAATTTGATTTGAATTTGTCCTACTACCTTTTTCTCTATTTTTACCTAATTTGCCCTTTTGACATTTATAATAAATTATTAAAATAGTTTTAACAGCAAAAAAAATTAGAAAAATTCAAAACAATAAAAGAGTCATTGGAAAAAATATAAGTATATTTTTTTTATTTTAAAAATATGGTTAGAATTAAAAATAATTTTCTATTCTATCTTTTCCAGAAATCAAATTCTACCGTCTACGGGGTAGTAGAATATATATTCTACAAATTGGTCTGAGTCTACTGTATTTAGAATATAGGTTCTACGGATTATTGATATATCTACGCACCCGTAGAATATAGGTTCTACTCATTACTCTATATTCTACGATTTAATTGATTTGGTAGAGTACACGTTCTAAATTCTACCAATTTTTGGAATATATATTCTACCGTAACTACTATAATCCACCATTCGTAGAATTCATCTTCCAGTTTTTTCCTTTTGTCTACGGGTGGTAGAATATATATTCTGCGAAAATATCCTAAAATCTAGGAAATATGGTTAGTAAATATTCACCATATCTTTCCAAATATTTTCTAAAAAAATAAAAAAAACTG